AGAACATGCCAGTACGTGCCAGAATGATGTGCCGGAATGTGCCCAGAACATGCCGGAATGTGTCAGAACATGTCAGAATGTGCCGGAACGTGCTGGAATGTGCCAGAATGTGCCACAATGTGCCAGAATGTGTTGCAACGTGCCTAGAATGTGCTGGAATGTGCCAGAATGTGCCAGAATGTGTCGCAACGTGCCTAGAATGTGCCGGAATGTGCCAGAACCTGCCAGTACATACCAGAATGTGCCGGAACATGCCTGTACATGCCAGAACGTACCGGAATGTGCCCAGAACGTGCCAGAATGTGCCGGAACGTGCCAGAATGTGCTGGAACGTGCTAGAATGTGCGGGAACGTACTGGAACATGCCAGATGTGCCGGGATGTGCCGGACGTGCCTTCCGCCGTCCAGTGCTGGTCCACGTGTGGCCTTTGCAGAGTGCAGGATGGGCGCCGAGGCCGTTTTTGAGACTTGCACACGTTGCTGCATTTTGCTTCGCCCCCCAAATTCTGTCTGCCGAGGTGAACCAAGCTCACGGCGTTTCCGGGGGTCCCATTTCCCTCAGCGTCCACGTTAAACCGCAGGTCCACGCCCGCCCTTTTTCACGGCTGCGTAGTATTCCACCGCGTATTTCTACGCCACGTTTTCCAGAGCTGCGCCTGTCCCCGGGCGCTGAAACTCTTTGCGTGGGTTGTCTCCGGTCACTGGGCCACGGGGGGCCCGTGGCCCTGGGTCTGGGTGGGTGCTCCGTGTCTGTGACCCCTCCCTGTCTGCAGGGCAGCCACGGAGCAGCGCCCCGGGCCGGCCCCGGAAGGGCTTGTGTGTCCGACCGCTGTGTCGGCCGCCCAGTGGCCCAGCCACGCCCTCGGGGCCACTGTCTGCGTCTGCACCCTGGCGTGTCCGTGATGGAGGACAGGGGAGGCGTCACAAGATGGAGTCACACAAACGGGACACGTAGAAGGGCCACTTGAGGCAGTGACAGGAGGGGCCAGTGCGGCCAGGGACAGGGGAAGGGGCCAGTGCGGCCAGGGACAGGAGGGGCCAGTGCGGCCAGGGACAGGAGGGGCCAGTGCGGCCAGGGACAGGGGAAGGGGCCAGTGCGGCCAGGGACAGGAGGGGCCAGTGCGGCCAGGGACAGGAGGGGTCAGTGCGGCCAGGGACA